AGCGTCTATCCTCTGTTTGCCCTCCATCTCCTGGTGAAAACCCAGACCATGGATGATGAATGCCCAGATGCCCAGCCAGAGTACAACACCAGGGCTCTTCGACCAGGGTCATGAGTGCTCTCCTGGACCGTCCGGTAGCGAGGTAACCTTAACCAACAGGTAACCAACGCCAACGCCGGGGTGATTTAGGGATGCTTCTGGGATCTGCTGTGCTCCCCCAGGCTTGTCGATGGAAGTTTTCAGTTGAATCATCACTGTCGTTGGTCGTGGCAGCGGTGGTTCAGGGTTGACGGTCAGCCGTGTTCAGGGTGCTTAAAATCCAGGTTTCTCGGCTTCCAGGGCATCGACGCGGTGCATGTCAGATGCACCCCGATGCACTCACCCAACAGCGTCTCCATCTTGCTGCTCTCGACTGGGTTTACGGGTGTCGCGGGATTGGCGGAATAAGCGTGAAGCTGGGATGAGAAGGAGCTTGGCAGAGGACAAGACAGGCTCGCGGATGCGGGAACCAACGATTCGATGCTCAGAACTCGACCAGGCCTCGACTGGGCGGAGCGAAAGGGGAATAGCTTCAACAACCATTTAATGACTACGGAGGGTCCCTGGTTGGATCGACCAAAATAGCTCCTCCGCCTCCCGCTCGAAGCCATGAACAGCGAGAACAGCCTCGACAAGCGTCCAAGCATACGAAAGGATGACCTGTCGGTGTATATGATGACGGTCACGACGACGCAAACAACAATACACGAGGAAACCAACGAGAATACCAACAGCTCAACAGCTGACTGGAAATTGCGATGACTGTGAAGGCAAAGTTGGGATGAGAGGCATTGCTCCGTCGGTCGTTTACAATATGGAAAGCTGTGCTGTTGGCAAATATTCCGCCATTATTCACTCGACCACGCTGCGCCCATTCCCAACTATTCAGAAAATTCTCCATACTGGCTGAAAAGATCGAAACCATTGCACGAATCAGACTTCAACGTCCCGCCTTCACATTGGAGCTGAACTTTCTCAATGGATACGTACCTTAGCGGACGCCCATTAATTCCAGTCCAATGGCACAGATTTGTAGCTGCAGCATGCACGGCAGATGAACCACTAAAAACCCAATATCAACCTCCCAAAATCAACCAAACAGACCGCTCCAACACGCAGAAAATTCCCCTTTTCGCAAACTCTGCGGCTGTGTTCCTGGTCCAGACCTTCGGAATCAAAGGCCATGTCACCCAACAACGTCACTCGGTGAGCGCCATGTCAGTAAACTTTTGGCGCCGGTAACGTGCTGTAAGGTGAGACGATCCTACCGGCACTTGATGGTTTCACCAAGTATCTCCCATCTCGACCCAGCAATCGAGGAGGCTATAACCTTACGGAGTCCCGCAAAGGTAATGCGTGGTGTACGAATACACGAGGACGAGATTGAGCCGCAGCGCAGCATCGGGGTTGGAAAGGTTGGGATAGCACAGCTCACACGCTCGCTTCAGCGGTACCAACAACAACAAAACAACCTCACCTAAGCATTTGCCTGCGTGCATGTTGGATTTTTTACGAACGTCATCGGATTCAACACGTGTGGGGAAAGCCACTGGCGCAATCCGGAGTATGTTGCGAATATTCTGTTACGGCTGGACAGTGGACAGGTCGAACCGCTGGTTCGTCCAAGATCCCGTGTTGCATCGATACGGAGTCCTCTTTCAGCGCGTTGCTGGCAAGTCAAACTGTAGAAACGAAGTCCGAGCAAAACGGCGGGAATCAGACGGATTTACGATCATCACCAAATTCAATCCACAACGATCTTCAAAGAACTCGGAACCTCAGAATCACTCGTCTCCAATAATCAACATCTCCACCCTCCGATCATCTTAAGCTTAATCTCCTCCTCCCCCCAAACTTAATTACGATCGCCTACTATCAGCCAATCCATCCCAAAGCAGCCCAGCAACGTCCCAATATTGGACTGCAGACGCCAAAACACCCGCGAATCACCGACGCAGGGCAAAAGGATCGACAGCTTGGATGCAGTTGCGGGTGTGTCAGGTCATCTCTCCCTTGTACGCGCCACAACGAGCAGGCCATCTCGGCTTGCGTCCCGAGAGAAAAGTCAGCAGCTGTGCGAGCAGAACCTGTGAGCTGTACTTGGTGCATTTCGAGTACAACACCGGGTAATGAATCGTGGAGAAGAAGATGAACCCGTATTCCCTTGTATCCCCCATGGTACGAACCCCCTCTCAACGAAATGGGTTCTGGAATGTTTTCTCTGCTGTCGTGCGATGGAATTCGTTTCTTCGACCACCGCATTGCATGATCTCGCCCACACCACACACACCGCAGAACCAGTGATTGTCACCAGGTGCAAATAGTGGTGACCACACCATCCAAACTCATACGCCACGTCCTCCAAAATAGACACATGACGAGATTATCATATCGTATTCCCCCCAGTATCTTTATCTGGCTTCAATTAAGCTGTGACGCAGCCAGCTGAAGCCCAATCCAACTTCATGGGTTTTTAGTGAGGGTCCTGTAATATGTGCTGCTCATAAGCAGCCACGGTCGCAGATCTGGAGATCCTATGCAGGCACGTGCAGGGATCCTCGGAGGTGATGTTTTCCGCCCAGGAAAAGACATCGAGAAAGAAGACTTGCTCTCGAGTTGTTACTTACACGTTCCAAGTATTTTTTTTCATCTGAGCTTCGCGACCATTGAATGGAAAAGCTGAATAAGTCGTAAGTAAGCGGGCTAAGGGGGGAGCAACGGATCGGCTCTCTAGTTTCCGAACTTCCGACGCAGCGCACCATTTATTTGACAAGTGCAGTAGTGCTGGGACATGCGGTCTTCGGCGATGGCTTGGCGGTGGGTTTAGGTGATGGGTTTACGTTTTTTTATTTGTGTATAAAGGGGAGAGGTACGAAGGTACTTTGGTACGGAGGTACTTGAGTATTTAGGTTGGTGAAGTTGTGAATGTACTGGTACCTATCCCTTTCCTCGCAAACACCCGACACGAATCTAGAACCCCATCGCCCGAAACGATATCCCCTTAAACACGGGACGTACACTAAATTTCGACCTTAGGTAGCTATATATACGGGGTTAGAATACTAAAACAATTATATATAAATAATAACTAAATTAACCTATTTTATACCTAAATAATATAATAAAAATACTCTAATATACTAAAAGAGACTCTATAGATCTAGATACTCTACGACTAAATATTAAGCTTATTAAAAAGGCGGAGAATAACTTTATTTCGATATAAATCCCCGATTTTTTACTCTAAATTATACTACTCGAGAATACCTCTATTAATAACTCTATTACTATCTTTTATTTATATTATCTTAAGTAGTTAATAGACTAGATAGTTAAGTATATAAATAGTTATAGAATAGAGTTTCTAAGCTTCTAGAAGTCTAGTTTAAAGACTAGACCTTAGTTTATAATCTACTATAGAGAGATTTATTTGTTTTTAGTACTTTAGATTTATATAACGTAATATATTAAAAATAAGGTCTCTAATTACTAGGTAATAATAGAAATTAAAGCTTATTATACTATATCTTAAACTATAGCTCGAGATAGGTTCTAATAGCTCTATTCGAGCTATTATTATACTCTATATACTATTAAAGATATATATAAAAAGGTCGACCTACTAAGCGACTATATTTAGTTAATTAACCTTTAAATCTAGAAGTCTATATAAGATCTAGTAATAGATAAAGTAATTAAAAGGTTTACTAGTCGCTTAAAAGAAAAAACTATAATTCTAAATAAGCCTATACCTATAGGGCTTAAAATCTAGGTTTACGCCTAGAATAGATTTTTCCTAGTTTAGGCCTAGTATTATTCTAGTAAGAAAAATAGCTCTATAAAAGTATAAACCTCTCGAGAACTAGAAGAATCTAAAAATAAAAAGAGGGGTAATAAAATATAGGCCGTTATACCTTATTTATTATAGAAACTCTCTATTACTTAGTACTACGTTTTTTTAGATAATCTCTTTACCTCTACTCTATTATTTAAGCTACGACGTTCTAAAGAGTTTACTACTATAAGTACTTATTAGATAAATAGTAGAGTAGTATTAGAGTTAATTAAGAAAAAGAAGAAGAATAAGAGAGAGAGTAAGATAAAATAAAGTACTTAAGTCTCGCTTTTTATAGAGAGTAAAAAAGTACTTTAAATAGAGTAGAAAGATAATATCTTTACTCTAATAATAATAACGTTCTTTAATAGTAAGAATTAGGTTATTAGAAACCGTAAGAGGCCTAGAGAGTTATTATCTAAAGTAAAGATAGCTAGAAAGCTATTCTAAGAATAACTAATAAAGAATTTAGCGATACTTAAGATCTATAATAAGTATAATTACTATATAGAAGCTATAGATATAGGAGACTAATTAAAAGCTTATAATAAGGGCGAGCGACTAATTAGAAGAGAAGAAGCTAAAGTCTTTAACTAGTACTTATTAACTATAGTCTTAGTTAATATATATCTAGTTATTATTTATTTAAGAGACTTAGATAGCTCGGTTAATTTAAAGTCTTAGGACAACGTTTGTAACTAGCTAATTAAGGCGCTTTTAGATATAGTAAAATACGAGAAAGTACTAAGAAAAAGAGCTTATTTAAGAGTAATTAGTTCTCTAATTTAAGAGTCTACAATAGCTTATTATTATATTAAGTTAGAAAGCTGTAAAGACTATACTACGTATAAAGGAATTTAGTTTTTAGATCGCCTAGTAAAACGAATTATACTAGGCGAAATTATAGCTAATAACTAGTAAAACTTAGTAAGAAGAACCTTTCTATAGGGCTATAAAGAATTTAACTTCTTACTCTATAACAATAGTAGTTATTTTAACCTTTATTATAGAATTTAATAAAAAACTCCCTCTTTTTACTTAAAAAGCTATATTACTATTAGCTCGCTTAGTATAGTCTAAGCATTTTACCCTACTGTGTCTAGCCCTGTGTTTAAGGGGATAGCAAAAGCAAATATAATACTAATGTTAGTTATACGAATAACAACTATTCTTTAGCAATACAATAATATCTAGAGATTATTGCAATCAAGCATTTCTTCAAGTTTCAACTATCTCTCTAGTTACTAAAGTATAGGTGAGTGAAATATAATAACCGACTCATCATAACCCTCCTCTAAGCGACAGGATACCCGCATAGAGGTAGACCGGTATGTGCCGATGTACATCTCTTATTCCTTCCCCTTTTCTCCTATGTTTTCCTCTCCTCCCACATTTCGTTTTGGAGACTCTTATTCTGTCCAATCACCTCTTGTTGCTTACTTGTCACTTTGTCTTTTTTTGGTCCCCGAAAATTATGCGATGGTGGGAAAAGGAAGAAGAGGGTTTGCTTTTTTAGGGGTTCGCATGAATGGAAAGGAGGAGAGAAGGGATGCGTGTCATTGAAGACAACACAGGATGTTTGTTTTTCGAAGGGGGGGGGAGGGAGAACTTCTTTGGGTAGGGGAGATGGTGGGAGAGGAGGAGAGAGGAGATTTGAGACTCACGGCATTCCTAAATTGAGACAGGGTTTTGAATGCACGTGGTTGGGCTGTGGAGCGGATGGGGAATGGGGGGCGAGGGGGGTGGTGCATTCCGTGGAGAATGTAGGGTATGGAATTGGGGTGGTGGAGATGGGGGGAGGATTTGGGAGGTAAGAGATATACAGTGGAACGATTTGGAATTGATCTCAGTTGTGTAGGTGGTGGAGATGGAAAGCGGTAAGGCAGAAGGTAAGAGGTCAGATTAGACTAGTAGTCATCCATTGAAGATCACCATACTACACTCCTCGTCGTCCCATCCCCTCAATCTCTAAAAGTCATCCACGGCTAGAGTCATCACACGTTACTTCTCTGACGTCAGTAATCACACCATCCCAGCGTTTCAAAAGATCTTTGGTTATTTTTACGGTCTAACCCATTAATGTAAGAGTATGAGCTGTGTATGTGTTGTGAGCTGTGGATTTGTGTGTTTTTTGGGCAGGCAAGGATACACTATAGGGCAGATTTATTTAGGGACCGTGAGTGGCTGTTATGTTGTGGTTTGTAGTTTGTTGATGTGGTGTGTTGTGTTTGTGTATGAATGGATTAGATGGGAAGGGTATTGATATTTCGAGAATGAGGGAAGGACGAGGGAAGGTGTTGGATAGAGTAGATTGTGTATTGTTTTGTGGTGACTTTGCACATGATTGAAATTGGTGTCTCTGGTTCTTTGGATTACTGGGGGGGTGGGGGGTGAGGGACGCGTGTGGTTGGGGGGGTGTTGTTGAGAAGGAATGGTTGGGAGGAATGGTTGGGAGGAAAGGATGGAGTTCTGAGATGAGGGTTATTGAAGAATATACTTTACGTGTACGAGATAATTTACCTTTTATTTTTGGAGGTCGACTTGGTTTAGGTTCGTGGACGTTGTATTCTCGTTGGGATAGCAGTCTTGGATATTGTGACAGGGGGCTTTTTGTGTGGGGAAGTTTGGTGGGGTGGAAATAGGTGAAGGAATAGCTAGAGTTCTAAGATACAAAGATTTAAATAGAGTACTTTTCACTTACACGACTTAATTTACTCTATTTCTCTTGTTTACGTCGATCTAGTTTAAGTTCGAGGCAGCCGTATTTTCGTTGGGATAGATATCGTAACCCGCATTTTTGTCTATTCAACTTCCACACACGAACGCCATTCCCGATCTCAACACCTCATTAAATAAACTTACTTGAAATACACCCTTCTCATCCCCTCCACCTCCCAGCTCAACATATATTCTTGAAGCTCGTCTATCATCCGGATATCCAAACGTGGCCGAAAAATACCACTTGCCGTAGCATGATTGACCGCTGAAATCGCTTTGAGCGGAAAGCTGCACCTGGGTGGGAGGGTATATCCGGGTGAATAGTGCATGGGGTTGGAAGTGTGGTTGAGAGGTGTGATTTTGGATTCTGGTAAACGAATTGAAACGCGGAGTCATTGTTGAGGTGTTTTTACTCAGAGGATGGATATCGTATTGACTTTTGGTCAAGATTTTCAAAGCTGGTGATGCGCTGACAGAACGATGATATTGGGACATGTTTGAGTGCGTGAGGTCTATAGCTGCCACACCAGTATCTGACACGATTCTCTGCGCGCCCCAAGTGTTCCTAAGTGAAAACCCTAACATCACAATCTTATATTAAAGAGCTGAGATCACAATGATATTGCTCGGGTCTAAGGCTCTAGTCTAAGAGAAAATTGCATGTTGAAACAGTTGTTATGTTGTTAAAATCTTAATTGCGATTTTGGACTACGCAGAGAATTGTGTTAGCCACTGATGCCGGGGTGGTTGTTGCGTAGTTGCTCGAAAATTGAATGTAATAGGATTTAAAACCGTACTGGACTTAACTCCTGTACCGGCTTAAGGCCCCCCGGGGTCCCTGAATACTTCGGCCACAAGAGTGCTTCGTTTTTGGTCATAACTGTCTCCACATCTAGCTTTTCTATAAGTGGCTTCCATAGAATTACATGGATAATAGTGGAGATTTTGAACTCATTTACACAGTCTCGTGGATCACCACCCCGGGGGGCCTTAAGACGGTACAGGAGTTAATGACTTCTCGAAACTTGCTGTTTTTGCGCGAAGGGGATTTAATTTGTCTTTGGCTGTTTTGTAGAAGTTGAATGTGGGGGTGAATGGTACGAGACAAAAGTATGGAGAAGACAGTATTGGAGCTCGACAAGTTAGGCGTTGTGCTTCACTTTTGGAAGGGAGTTCTAGTTTGTCAAATATGTTTTGAATGGATAGACTAATATCATGATTATCATCAAATCACTTCCCCACCCCCAGAATCACACCTCCGCCAATAAACCATTGTACCAAATTCCCATCACCCATTTCAAAACCAACGGAAGTTGAAACGCATCTCCCAGCACACCATCTGAATGCCCCACGTCCTCAGCATCTAACAATGTCTATCCGGCTTCCTCACCACAACATTATAGTGATCCGTATCGAACTCCTGGCCACAAACCTGAGTAAACATTTCCCAATTACACCAAGTGACGAGATCCGTGGCATAACTAGCGATGTACCTGCAATTCGGTCTTATGCCGTAATTATTCTGCCATTCATTTATTAGTTTCTCTTCCCCATCCCCCGTCACCAGGAGTTGGACTTACATCATTGCACAAGATGATGGCCGAGTCGTACGAGCACGAGATCTGATTGCACGTCCGCGGACCGACGTCGCAGATATCGAATCGTTGGAGATATCTGATGCCCTCCTGGATGCGGTCAGTGCTGGCGTATTTCCAACCCTGCGCGTTGTTTCTGCAGCAGCTTCTGCCGTCTTTGTTGCGCCGGCTCAGGGTAGTGGTGTTAGAAAGGTGAGCGGATTCGGTGTGAGGAGTGTCCAGGTAGGCCGTGAGGTTGAAGGAGGGGTGGAGGGCTGCGTAGGCGGCGAAGGCTTGCTGGGGAATGGTTAGTGAGGGTGGGGATTTGGGGAAGATGAGGTTACGTGGTTTGTGTGAGAGGGATCGAGAAATGTGGTTTGGGAGTTCTTACCTCGATGGTACCGTTGTATTCAAAGTAGTTTCCGTCGATCTCGCCTTTGAATTGCCATGGTGTTAGGGCATAGGGAAGAGTATCGCCGCTTCGATGGACGGTGAGAGCGGTTGTGGATGGCGAGAAGGTTAGGAAGGCGAGAAGACTGAGGAGGATAGTTATGATCATGTTTGTGGCTAATGGAATGAGTTTCTTGAAGATGTTTGGAGATGATGAAGATCTTGAATTGAAGACAGATCTGATGATGAATGAGAGTGTGAAGGAGATAGAAGAGAAGGTCGGAGGAGACGAATTTATAGCTGGTCCAGGTGGGGTCTCGCTGCCTGATTAGGTGTGAGCAGGTTGATTTTGTTGAGAGTTGTGGAGATGATAGCTAACAACTTCACTTCTGAAAAGCTGAGGGTCGCAGACTTGAGTATTTCAACGTGGTGTCCAACTTGGTATGTAAAGTGTAGATCATGTATCAATGTGTCTTTAAAGGAGATGCGGGACGCCTGTCTATTGTTTCAAGCATTTATCTTTAGACTTAACATTCCCAAACTTGTCTGTATGAGCAGAATGGTTTTATTGGGCGACATTATCAAACTCTCAACACTTCGCTAACCTCAAGAGATAACCTCATAATTTCCCGCTCAGGAGCTCATCTATATGAACACATCTTCAATTGGACTTTTAAGTTCAGCCTGATATCGCCTGATTGAGTGCTGTTTTCTGTCAAGCCCCGAACTAAACAATTTGGACATTACTGATCTGTTTCAGAAGACCAAGATCCGCCGTGCCAGAGAAGTAGCGAGAGTCTTCGATCACCCTCGATTATGTTTCCGAGTGAAGCGAATAGGTTTGAAGAGGAATTCCGAGGTTACATATTTGACGGGCAATTATTCTGTCATATCGAGGAGCGCAAATTCTGGAAACCTTTCAGTTCAAATGAGGGCATTGAGAGGAATGATATGATTGTCGAGGGGTCGACTTTAAGCGATGAAATGCGTTGGAATACCGAAGAGGAAAGGATAATTGATGCAAATATGGTGCTCTAAAGTGACATGTATTGAGTTTTCGTAGATAAGAAAAACTTGAATGAACGTCATAAACACTCCTCTTATCTTTCCCATTTGAATTTTACAAAGCAGTGTGGCATGGCTTGAAGTCAAAGATGACACTTCGAGCTTTACATGTGTGCGTCTATCTGAACAAACCTATCGAAATGTTTGAAAGAAATAGTAATCAAAATTAGCACACATGTGTCCCAGAAATAGGTCTGGAGGGACATGATTGATTTAAATCAACGTCACAAGAATGTAGAGAAATCTTTGCGTAATCCAAAAACAATACGAGTCGTGATATAGTCCGCAACCTGAATATCGTTTATTGGTCTTTATCATTTGCATAAGACGGCTGGAAGAGCTGGTGATCACTTTCGATAAAAATGTTGAAGGCCAAAATTTGGAGTTTGAGCTGTTCTCATTAGAACCAATTTTCGCGGAACTTGACTCATGTCGAATAGATTCGTGATTAGCACAGTTGAATTGTGGTTAGAATTTCAACTTCGATCATGTCTCTCGAAGTGAAAAGTCACTAAATTCTTATTCCGAATCTCACTTCAGATATCTCGATCTATCCACATAAGGGGGATATCATTGCTTTACCATTTGTGATACCGCATAAGGGCTGAAGTTCTTGAAAAGTTTAACTCTTTTAATTAATCGCTGATTGACTGATCATCCCAACATCCTCCATCGCTGCAACAAAAACGTCGCTCGCAGCATCTTACGTTTTGGTCGGCTTTTGTAGTCTTACATACTTTTCCATGGTCTTCAATCGCTCAGAAATGTCTCGAAGCTCTTGCTGAATGTCGTTTGTAACACTACCCATTTCGACCGTTTGCAATATTTCCACCAATCTCGCCATCAAACCATGCCATACCTCCAATATTTCCAAGCGCAGCTCGTCGTTTACTTGCCATACCTCCCAGATATCCCTGATACATGCCTCCTGCCTTCTATCACGACAGAACGTGTAGAGATCGCAAATCACGAGTTGCAGGTTGAGTGACTGGAAAACACAAACCACCAGAGTCACCAAATAAACCCTAGGGAACATATTCGGTTTTTCAATGTACTCATTGACGGTAACATGTATGGTGTAGACGAGACTAGCCATAAAGGAAATTGCGTAAAAGACTTCCCAGGTGTCGGCGCGGGACCACGGTCGGCATGTTCTGCAACATCGTTCTACTAAAGCAATTGTGTCAATGCTGTAAATTGCAGCTCTAGGAACGTTTGTACCTGGCGATATTCTGTAACGAATCCAAAGAGTGAAGCATTGAACGAGGAAGTACATAAAGAGCCAAACGATTTGTTTCAGAAATTCCGCCAAGGACGTTGGATCACTACTCGGGGACTCAAGCGTGCTATTGGCGAAGTAGTGTCGACCACTGAATTCCGTGTAATTTGTCATAACGATGATCAGCGGATGAGGTGAGGTTCTTGATGATGGAAAGAGTGTTGTGTTTGGCTGTCGAAGGTAATCCTGGAACTTCGCAGAAGGACTTTCTCCATGCAAACCTTTTCCACTCACTCACAGTGAAGACTCGAAGCAGCTTCCTGCAACTTGGACTACTTGCACCTGCCTCAGGCAAGTGGTTCTTCTAGACGTTGCAAGTCATTTGATTTGCGACTTCCTCGAAGTGTAACCGAGTACGCAGTCCAACTTTCTTGTGCATTGACAACTGAATTAACTTCACTTTCTGGAGTGATTCCATTATCATTGATTACCATTCTTTGACACGAAAACGATCAGCATAAACCACTAACACATTACCGATAGATTCAATTGTTGAATGTTCGACTTTGAGTTCACGTGTCAAGACATGAGGTCGAAATTCCACGAAGTGAGACAGACCCGACACAATCTCTAACTGCCTGTAAGAATTCGAAAAGCCCTCATTTTTTTTGATGCTCGATCACCAGCGCTCAATCATCATAAGCTTCACGAAAACATGGCACTTTCGGAGTGTTTTCACATTATAACTTTAAACACTAAAAACATAAATTCGAGGACCTTCATAATCGTAATTTCAAACTCCATTTGCTCACCCAAGATATTTCATTTCATCATCATGCCTCCATGGTATCCATACATTCATAAATCGTTACACCCATTCATCTCAACCCTAAACCCTAAACCCCCTCACCACCAACCTTCTTCTTCCCAACCCCCGTCTCCCCCGCCAACCTCTTCCTTCGACATAAATGCAGCTTCACCGTCCAATAAGCCTGAAACGGATACCACACAACACAAATCCCACCGATAATCAACTCACCCCTCTCAAGCCACGAACCAGGAGCCACGTTTTTATTCCTCCCTAAATAAACCTCGGCCGCCGATTCGAGATTCCAACATATCCAGAAAAGGATAATGTACATGATCTTGAGGTATTCTTTATCGTCAGAGAGCATAGTGTGGATTTTGGTGAAGAGCGGTCGTACTGGGTTGGTTAATTATGTATTGGCAGAGGGTGGGGGGGTTTTACTGATTGAGACTTTGGATAGTATGAGGTTGAGAATGAAGTGGCTGATGGAGATGAGAGCGAGGAGGTAGAAGAAGCATCGCCAGACCTCGTGGTCACTCAGGATGGAGGTCATGGTGCTCCAAAATTGGACGAGAATTGGCGAGGCGCCCATCTCCGTAGCCTTGTTGTCGTGTTGAAGTTCTTGTGCCATGATACTCGCGATATAGGTACGTGTAGACGACAAGAGAAGACTCAACTCGAGAGTACGTGTCTATTTCACTGATCGTAAGATGCTGTGGCAGTGCTCATTGGAGATTGTTGGTGATGTTGGAGATGACGGGTCGTCGTCGTATAGTCTCATCTGGTGTAACGTATGTCAGGTGTAAATACCCAAGCGAGCCAATATAACCGTTGCCTAGACTTTGCAGTATTTTGGGAAGCACGAGTGAGTTAAGAGTGGTTTGCACTTAACATGAAATATTTTGAAGATTTTTTGAAACCGCTTCGCCATTTTTGTCGTGGTTGGGATGGAGCGAGTCGTGCGCCTTAAATTCTCGCTGCACTTCATCGAAACAACCTCGAATTTTTGAATACCTATCAGATTTACAGCTGAACCGACTTTCTGGTGTCAATTGTTTGTAGCTGAGAATAACAAACGGGAAAGATATGAAGCTTTTGGTTGTGAAGAGGCTAAATACATTACCTGACGATATACCGATAGATGCGATTAAGTTCAAGCTTGCAGAAGATACCTCCCCGTGATAGCTCAATACAGGGAGGCTTACAGCAAAGCAGTCCAGCAGATTGTCTGTCTGCATTTTCTGAGGGCTGTTATCTCTTGCTAGAAGAAAAATTCGGAATAACGAAAGAGCGGGAATATCTTGAAGAAAGAGGCGAAAGACGATGTTCTCGATTAGTTGCGTCGACCAACGCACAGCAACGGATTTCTGCTAAATCCTTCTACATTTCCGCGTAGTCACTACATCTCTACTGTCCATGATTTCTTCGTTCGTGATCAATTAACTTTGCAAAATGAAAGATCCTTCCACCCATTCGAGTACGATATACGAATACGCTCCCCTTTGATATCATCCGTGCACATTAAGCAAGCTGCATTTCAATCCGAGGTTACACCATCTCATGCCCGACTTCCTTCGGATTGGTACATACAATCAAGTCTCCACTCAGATATTTCCTAAAAAAAGATATATGTCTGTGGTATGTCATTGCCTCGAATCACCCTGGAGAAATCCAGAAAGTGAGCTCAGGCTTCTCGCTTAACGAGTTAGTCCCCCCCTAAGCCTCCCTCGACCTCCTGATACTTGACTACCACCCGTCCTTGCGCAAAACAAATTTATTTGCTTTCTCCTCTATCTGCTTTCCAAGAATAGAAACATCTTCCCACATGGCATATCTAAGCGTTCCCGGAAATGGTGTAAATCCAGGTAAGTGTTCTAGCGCTCGGGTTCAGGAGTTTCGACTTCCAACCGGGAGAAAGGATAGTAGCTTTGAAGATAATTGAATTTCCATCATATTCGTCGGGGCGAATTATACATCATCATTCCTGAAGATAGTCAGCATTCTACGCCGGCGCGTGTTGCATTGCAGTCCTCAGCGATGCGGTAGCTTTTCAATAACGGACTTATGAGCTTATGCTCACACAATGATTCTAATTTTAATAGCAGGGTGCTAATCTTCCACTTTGAAGACGTTTGTGTTAAATAATTAGTCGACCATTTACTTTGCCATTTTGAGCAGAAAAAGGATCAGTAAAGCCGCGGGCAAGTGACCTGCTTCTTCAGTCGTATCGATCATGCCCTTGCTAGTGAAGTCCATTCTTTGGAGTCAATCCGATGAATCGTACAATCAAAAAGCCTGGCTTGTCGAAACAGAGGTCAAAGCTAATCTGCTGAGGCTGTGCTATAGTTCAACGACAAAGCCCACGGAATCCACTGTCCGCACAATAGAGGAACGAGATGTGAACAGCCTTTTCATTACGAGATTCTGGAAACTTGGTGGTATGAAGAGGTATCCATGCGTGTTATTGAAAGCTACTGTTAATTCTAAAGGTGCACAAGGTTAACGAGGAGAGGCAATCGTATAACTAGACCACGACGAATACGATGAGGGAAAGAACTGCATGATAGTAACTGCCAGCGGCATATCTTTTACACTGAATTAAGCTTTGGATTAACCTAACGGGAAAAGCTACGAATATGTACTCCGCTTGATACGAACTTCATAGCGCAGTACCAACTTTATATTCGCTTAACGCTTTGGACATATTGCGTACGAAGTAACCAATGTGCCATGGAGTGAACGCAAAGTTCCAGAACCGAGAAGTGTGTGCTCGAAGCCATACCTCGCTTTGCTACTCGCAGCTTGCGTACCTGGCTACATCAGAGTACAGTACAGAAAATGGCTGTGCAAGTACCAAATACGTACTAACGCACCTCCACTTTACGCTCGAACTGATTCCAAAGATATGAGGAATCGTTGAAAATGTATAAAGAAGACCTTCTCGCACCTGTCATCAGTTGACTATCCAAGCATTCATATACTTCTTTCTTCTTACTTCCTACAATCTTTACAGGAACTTCCTTCACTCTTTCACCCTTAAACCTCACCAAACCCCCAAAATGAAAACCTTCATCGCCCTTTTCGCCCTCTTTTCCACCCTCCCCTTCGCCATCGGCAACCCCATCATCAGCCCCCCAGCACTTGAGCAACGCCAGGCCGGCAAACCAGCCGACATAATGGCAAATCTCTACACCCAAATCCAAGCCTTCACAGGGCAGATCAGTCCGTATCCCTCCGAGTCGTCCCCCTATACTCTAACAGTCCATCAGATTCCACACTTGACACCATCAACGCCGGCACCACCACCGCCCAAAACACCACCGCGCAAGCCACGATCAAAGACCTCACAGCGCAGATCGGAACGGTAGGCCAAGCAGCAAAATCGCAACTCGAAGCCGTGGGCAAGCGAAACGTGCAGAGATATACAGCGGGCGATCAAGAGGTCATCGCGGGGTATATGGTTAATATCTACTACGAGATTTCTGGGTGTTATAGTCGAGTGAAGTTCTGTTATGGTGATTGTAAGTCAGATGGTCTGCTATCAGAGGCGTGCGTAAATTTGCTAATCCGCTCGCAGCTTTCCTCGGCGGGATTCTCTCCCCAATCATCCAGGTTTTGATGGGTGTCTTCCAAGTCGTCGACAGAGTTGTCAGCGGCGTGCTTTTCATCGCCGGCAATGCACTTGCGGGGGTATTCGCCGTTGTCGGTGGGGTCCTGGGATTGCTTCTGAAATTGCTGTTTGGCAAGTGGTGAGTTGTTTCAGCAGTACTAATTCTGCGTGTTGTAGCCAGCCAGGACAAAGAAATGACTGAATGGCGAAATCAAGCGGGCGAGGGTGAGAATGTAGTTGTGACATAATAGACTGGGAGGAAGTCACTGGCACGAGATGATTTTGAAGTTTTTTTTTTCTTTGGGACGACAAATCATGTTCTCGGGTTAATTTTTGTGTTCATTGTGGCACGTTTCATTCTTTTGTTTTCTTGGGGATTTTGGAAATCTACATCTCAGGAGATGTATGTAATACAGATTTCGATGTACTTCAATTTACTTATTGTCGCTACATCCACTAGTATAAAGGAAGAAGATATACTAGAAATATAAGAGATATTACAAAAGTACTAGACTAGAATTTTAAAAGAAACCTTTAATATCTTATATAAAAGTATATCTAGAAAAGTAGAGACTTATATTAAAATAAATGGCTAGTATATAAAATACTAGATATATAGCTATATCTAAATAATTCTATAATTACCTAAAATTACCTAAAATTACCGTCTTACCTATATAAATAACCTCTAAAAGTCGGATTATTAATAGCTTTAAAATTAAGTAATTTATATAGATTAATAGTAGTAGTAGAAATGTAGTAGTAGGGTTAAAATAAGCGAAATTACAAATAGTAGAAACCTAGTACTATACTAGTAATCCCATCAAGCTACTTCGTATAAAATGAAAACGCGTCAAAAACACGCAAAACAAGCCTTTACACCCAGCATATTCCATTCCACACTTACATTTTTGCTATCTACCCCAAGTATCTCCTCTATACTCCAGCTATGTTTTGAATAGCTTCACACCGAAAAGAAGGTCTAGCACAACTTGACCTGTATTGATGTGATCAGCTCAAACCCCTTTTCCAGGGCGGGGAAACATTCCAACGTACACTCACCTCGATCTTCTTTCTTCGAAGGGTAACGAAATAGCTAAAAATGTACTTAGGCATACAAAAGGTTTTGATAATATTTTAAGCGTAGTCGAATTTTAGCCACAGCTTAGAAAGTGGTATATTCATCTCAATCTCAACCTAAAAGCATGGAATGGTATTGCTTCTTTGTTTTAACTTAGGAAGTCGCTTTCGGTTGAGATAAATCAAACGAGTTATGCAAGATTAAAACTCGAAGATTGAGTGTAGAAGGAGTAGCCCGAAGAGATAAATACGAGAAATATCTACCAGACATGACAAGCGTACCAAATGTTGCGACATAAACATTCTACTTGATATCTCCCGCGAACAGACCCCACATTTCCACATCTCTACCAAGAACCCCCCTCAAAACCAACAACTTCTTCCAGAGCACGCGGATCCCCCTCATACTGCGCAGCCTCGATCCTGATGTCGCCCCTCGCAATACTCCACTTCTTCGTAGCCAGCTCTCTCCGGCCAAGCAATTCCAGACTACAGTTCACATGCAACGAGACATGCTCTCCTGGCTGTAAAGTAACCGTTTGAAAGCCCACAAGGACTCGTTTGAAGTCGAATTCCTCCAACCGGACCTTCCCAGCGTAGATCTGCACCACCGTACTAGTAGTGACCGTACCATTGTTCCTACACTCTACCGTACAGACAATTTCCGTGCCGCTTTGGAAGGGTATCTGCAAGGTCCTCACATCAATCGTCCCATACCCGAGACCGAATCCAAAAGGAAACGCAGCTTTTTTCTCATCCTTGTTCAACAAACGATAGCCCCAGAACCGGCCATACGTGATTCTATCCGTCACTCTCTTCCAAAACGGAACATCCTCTTCGGACGCGACAGTCACGAGCGGCATTCTCCCTCTGGGCTCGCTTCGGCCGGTCAAAACATCCTGCAACGCATCCCCACCTTCCATGCCCGGATACCACGCCATCAGAATGCTCGGGACCGTTTCCCGGATGTCTGCGTCCAGCATGATTGCGCTTCCGCCGACGAGAATAAGGATGGTGTTGGCGTTTGCTTTGACGATGCGTCTGATCAGGTCTGAATCCGAGTTCCTGAGCCCGAGACTCGCGCGGTCGCCGCCGCGTGAGACGGTCAGGAAAAGTGAGACTAGCTTTGAGAGGAAGATGAGAAGGTAGACGACTGGAAAACTGCCCCACCAGCGGGGAAAAGTGTCATGGTGGTGAAGTCGTCGGTGATGATATATTCTCCTTCATCGTGCGCGTCCATGCCGACGACCACGACGGCGACATCAGCTTCGCTTGCACTTTTGATGGATGCTGCAGAATCCGAACCGGTGGTGTAATCAGTGTCGAAATCCATATTTGCTTGAAACCCTTGCAAGATCGTTCGCACGTAGGGAGGATGTACGTTGGAAGATCCCTTGTCGCCGAGATTTGGCTGAGAGGCTAGCTTACCGACCAAGGCCACGCGTTTTGTTGTGGGAGACAATGGTAGCGGAGGAGCTCCGGTGGACGAAGTGTTTTTGAGGAGAACCATCCCTTGAGCTGCTGCTTTTCGAGCCAGTTCTGTGTGTTCTGTGCACGCGAGGCAATCCGTAGAAGGCTTCTTTTGACTGAGTTGCGCGTAGTGTCGTAGTTGAGTCGCGATGAGACGCAGACAAGGCGCTCTCAACTCATTCTCACTTAGTTCTCCAGACTCCAACGCAGCAGGTAGAGCTCGTGCTCGCTGTTGTCGGAATGTCATCTCAACATCCAATCCATTCTTCGTCGACGCAACCGGTTTTCGCAGTCCCCAAATGAAATCAGACATGACTAATCCCTCAAACTTCCACTCATCACGCAGTATCTCCGTCAGAAGAACGCGATTGTCGCCGCAATATTCTCCTTGTACGGAATTATAAGCGCTCATGACTGCAAAACAGCCGCTTTGGATGATCTTTTTGAAGTGTGGAAGATACACTTCATGGAGATCGTGTTCGTCAACTTGGACGTCCACTCTGAAGCGCGAATTCTCCATCGAGTTCAGCGCGAAATGCTTGACGCAAGCCATGACATTCTGCTGTGCGCCACGAGCGAGAGCGGCTCCTAATTCCCCTCTATTCAAAATCAGTATCGAATCCGCATTGGAAAAAGAAGACGGGATGAGTTTCTCACAGGATCAAAGGATCCTCTCCATAAGATTCCTGCGCCCTTCCCCACGCAGGATGTCTCACCAAGTTAACACAAACACCACCAAACAGATTTCCTCCTTGAGCTCGCACTTCCTTTCCTATCGCCGTCCCAATCCGCTCCTCTAGCTCTACGTCGAATGTCGCGGCGCGCGACATGGGCACTGGAAATGCGGTTGAGTTGCCCATCACACATCCGCGTGGTCCGTCTGAGAATTGAATTCCGGGAAGGCCGATGCGCTTGATGGCGCCGCTGGAGTAAGGCACAGAGTTGTAACCTGACCGTATAACTGCCTTCACGCCTTGGGTAAAGTCTAGGTCGCCGTCGAGAAGCCAGAGTCGTTCTGTTGTGGAAAGAAGGGAGTATATTTCGAGAGATAATTGGGTGATATCGCCGCCGGAAACGAGCCTTCGAACAGCTGATTCGAATGGAGAAGTCATTGTGGTGATTGAAATCTACAGGATGTGACAAGTTTTGTTGAGAAAAGGAGGTGATGAGCTCGATATACTGCTCGGATTAAAAAAAAAGACTGTTCCTTCCGTTAACTTTACACAGCTACCCTTAATATAACCCTTTTATCAAAAGAGTAAAAACAAACCAAACTTAAAGCTACCGCAGCTAAACCAAGGTCAGACATTTGAGAGTCTCTCTGTACCGGTTTCTTACATCTTCGTACTCTTCAACACAATTCCGGCCCGTCTGACGACATTGATGAGGATACGATCGTACTCATCGTATTCGGATTGCCAGTCATCAAAACTGCCGCCTCTACAATGCGCAGCAGCTTCAGTCAGCACCTCAAAATCATAGAAACCACACCCACTCGGTAACTCCCACCAAAACAACTTAGAAGATTCTGAAAACTTGCCAAAGCCGCCTCTTATTATCCAAACAACCGAAATCACCACCACACTAGAGAGAAACCCCCTCAATCCCAAGGAGTACATGTTTATGGTAATGTTTAGGAGGATATGGTAAATATGAAGAAGAACGCTGAATGTGCTATCAATTACATTCTTTCATAAGTTTATGTCGCTAAAAGATCAACCTGGGACTTTTCACGAGCTAGATGCCGAGTCTGATACTGAGCCGCATTTTGGGTTCGAGTGGCACGAGAGAAGTGCAATGCAATGAGACGGTAGCTGTTTATCATCATCGTAACAAGATTTGAATTGATATGGGTAACCAAAATCTTATTCCTAAGAACGATTGTCCGTTCCAGGGTATCTTCTAAACTCGCTCAGTACCATGCGCAGTACCCTTCTCAACCTCCTCAATATCCGCACGATCCGCATCACTCATCCCCATACCCATCGCCTCCCGTTCATGGATCTTCTTCATCGAAGATTCAATCGTATTATGTCCAACCGCTTCAGAGACGTCAGAGTCATGAGCAACATCGAAGCTGCGTCTGAGATATTCCGGTCCGATGAAAGTAAGCACGATAACGTATGCATACACGCAACCCATGAAGATACACATGACAAGGCCGTATTTGTATCTCTTGGTGTGGCCTTTTGGTGGGAGAGGGAATTGAGAACCGATGGTGGATTCGATGGTTGAAGATGCGGAGGATGCAAGATTCCCGAGTTGATAAGATGTACCAACGACGAAAGTGCGGAAAGATCCAGGTGATAATTCCATCAAGTGAATTGGAATGACGCCCCAAGCACCTTGAACGCAGAATTGCTCGAAAAATGCTGCAGCGATGACGGCTTTGCTAGATGTGAAGGTGTAGGGGTAGAGCAGCGCTCCTCCAATAACGCAAATGAAGATGATGGAAAATCGTCTTCCGAATATCTGAGAACAATAACCGATCACTGTTCCACCCGAAATTGCTCCCAAGTTGGCGACCACTTGTGTGACGGTAACGGCATTAGGGCTGAAGTTGTACTGATTTTTCAACATTGTAGGATAAAGATCTTGCGAACCGTGGGACTGATGATGTTAGCGATGGAATGAATTAAAACAACAGAGGTTGGGCCTTACCATGAAATTGAATCCAGCCATCAACAAGACGAGGTAGATCAGCAACAGCCAATGCCGCTTTAGTGCAACCTTCCCCTCTGCAATAAAGGTAGATCCAATATTCCCCCGTTCTTGTCTGATGGCCTCACGTTCCTGGTATGCTGCCGTTTCTGGGAGACATAATCGGAAAATGATGATCAAAACAGGTGGACCAGCACCAAACCAGAATAGTGGACGCCAACCGTGCGACGTGGTATTTACAAGTCCTCTTGCAAACGCCGTTGCAAGCAGGTACCCGAAAGCATAGCCTTGCTGCAGCATTCCCGATATCAACCCACGCGCCTCTTCAGGGCAATCTTCCAATGCGGTTGCGGCAGCATTACCATACAGACCTCCCATTGCAATTCCAAAAAGAGCTCTACAGGCCAAGAATTGATTGTAAGTCTGACAAAAACCGGTTCCTAGCTCGAGAACGATGAAGAGAAGGTTGTTAATGACAAACGGCCATTTTCTTCCATATCGATCTGCAGCCAATCCAAAAGCGATAGAGCCGACTGATCTCAACATCAGCACCAGAGTAATGCCCCAGGTAATGTCGGTGGTTGTTTTGTCGAATTCTTCGGCAAGATCCTCAACCGTCAAGCTGACAGTGAAGAAATCGAATGCGTCCCAGGTCTAAGAAATGTCAGAACACGTAAACGTATGGTAGATAGAGGATTGCGCACCCATGCCACGAAACCACAGAGGAAGAATAGCCATTGTTTCGTATTTAGCATTCGAAGAAGTGTAATTGGGTTCGGCGCCTTGTGCATCGGTGGCTTCAAGGTCGACAGACGAGTTCGAGCATATTCGCCGATTGACATCTCCTCAGGCGTATGCGATTCGGGACTACGAGTCGGCGAGGAGTCGACCTTGTGGTCGTGCGAAAAATGGTCAGCCATGATGGAGCAGTCGTCGCCTGTGAAAACTGAATATTGTTAGCTATCTCTTGTTGTGGTTTGCTCTTCAACTTACTTGGCAGCTACTACCCACACACAGAATCAAAGTTCAAGAATCGATAAGACTGCAGCTCCTGGGGGCCCATCACTCTACTTATCACTTTTTCTCCCTCCACAATCCTTCCGTGCTACTGTACGAATTCTCGCTTTCAACGACTGCGACCCTGCTGACAGGCGTACATTTGGTCTGGATCTTCATTTCGACGTCCCATCAACGGCGATGCCCCAGTACCCCGCTGCCGATGACCACTGAGGGTGGTTGAAATTGATGCAGCCAAAGCGGCCGGGGAGAGATATCGTGGGCGAAAGACCACTGAGCAGCAATACCTTGCCTATTCAGGTAATCCAGGCGACGAGAATTGCAAATGCTATTGGCTCCCAGACCATTTTCCGCGCGACTGTCTGCTTCCTTCGCAGACGCCAGAGAAGGTTCGGTCATACTCAAACGTACCAGGGGAGGATTCCCCGCCATCGAACAAGCATTTCCAAGACTAACCAAGCTTTCAGCCAGTGAGATGGGAGAGGGTCCATTGAAGCGCCTCTGACGGTGTGGAGAGCGGGAAGTTCTCCGCGTTCCTCCCCACGAGTCTTGCCCGAGATTTGCGGTCAAGTGCTCCTACGACCGGGATGTTTTGTGGGTGCTTTCTGGTCGCAAAACTCGACCGAGAAATCTCCATGATTTGTTGCAGTACGTAGTGACCGGCAGATTTGTCGCAATCGAGATGTAAACAACTCTGTGTAAAGACTTAGTTAAGGAGACGATAGTATCTTGCCTCGAACAATCTGCAGCTTTAAGTTACCAAAATACGGTACGTACCGGTACTCGTTCTAGATATTAGGGTGCTCCAGGTACCAGCACCAAATTACTTAGGTAGGTAGTGTTGAAAACAAATGTGCCGAGTCGACAAGTCGTTTGCATGTCCTAACAAACACGCAAGACTGGTTGAGAGATTGATGCACGCTGCTTCCGCCACCGAGCAACACCGAAGGACATCAAATCTCTGTCATCAGGAGGTTGATGTTGTGTTTTGGAAACATGTTTGCGATGAGAAGAAAAATATCCGACATGGTTGATTGTGGGCCGGCCACGTGACCTGTGAAGACCTTATTTGCTTCCATATAATCTTTTTGATAAATCTTATAGTTATTTGTTATCGCAAAGAAACCCGAGTATCTGAAACTTTGGAGGTGAAATCCAAGGTCAAGGAGATACGATATACTTCTTTACTAGCACTATCCTATGACCTCCCTGTCCTCGTCTTCCGACATTCAACCATTACTCAGAAGCATTTTATAGTAGTCATCTTATCTAGTCACCCCTATCTGAATTATATTGCCCCTAAATGCCACTGTTGTCCAGAAATTTCGCCGACAAGTAAACACCTCTTTTGATTCTACAAAACTCCACAAATTTATACTCACATCCACATTATCTCATTTATCTCACGTCATACAATCAGATGACCTATTGATTCATCTGCTTCATATGTCACCGTCACACTTCTCATTCACAACAACGAATCTGCTTATAACACATATCTCCATTGAAACCATTCCCTATAAAACACCCGAATCCAAACGCCCGACCCTAAATACGTTTATTGCGCATCATTATAAACCCGCACATAATACCCATCAGTATCCTCCAGAATCCCTTCTTTGACATCATGAGGCAGATCCTTACCCGTACACACGTTATGGATATCCAGGATATAACTAGACAGATATGCACGCGACGGGTAGATCTTGTCTCCCCTCTATTTCATATCAGTAACGCAGTTTCTGTGGAGCAACATGATAAGACGTGTGTAACTTACAGTGCTGCAAACCTGGGCATTGGTTGTAACTCCATGTCGTATCGCTTTACTCAACTCACTACAGCCACCGGGCAGAACTTCAACGCGTCCAGTTGTTCCTTCTACGCCTAGATCGGTGTATACGGCTTCGAAGCCCTCTTGCCACCATGATTTGAAGTGTGGAGCTGGGTTGCACTTGATTTCGCTTACTTTCTGGATCTTAGTTAGCACGGTTGATTCTATGGATCGAGGCAGTTCGAGTTACCTTGTTTGCCTCTGTCAGACTTGTCATAGCCAGTATGACAACGCTTAACAGCTGGGTCATTTTGACGAGCTGCATGTTGTTTGCTTGGGTGGTGATGATGAGATAATAGTTATGTGTTTTAAAGAAGGTAATATGTACTCATGGAGACTTGATGTCGGGCGATGATGTTGATTTGAAGAGAAGAAATGGAAAAGGGAAAGACAGGAAAGATGCCCAGGTATTTATTTATACACATATTGTTCTATGACCAACACCATGATAGTCAACTCAATGTGAGTAATCTGACACAATAAGAAACCATATTGGTGTTGGTCATTCATTCACACTATAATGAGTTGGAATGTTTGCCAGACAAAGATCTCTAAATTTCGCACTTATTATTTGGTAAGCGAGAAACAGAATAAGGGGGTTGTAAGTTTGAGAATAGCCCACGAGGGTGACCAGAACTGCGCCAACCAACATATCATGAGCCTCTGGAACAATCAGCACAACCAACATGGGGTTATTATTTACAACCATAGCCTCACTGAATTGCCCTTCTTTATGTTTCACTATGCAGCCACATTCCATCAAGATCAATCAATGGGTCGTGGATTATATTCACTCAGCTGAGTTTCAAGTAACTATAATGAAGCGCGGTGTACCAGCTGACCGTTTTACCAACTTGAGTTGGTTGTGAATGAAACAATTTGATACAGCTTTTGGGCATTGGTGAGCATAAAACTAGCGTCCTCAGATATGCAACCAAGGTCACAGCAGTAAAGCAGAATTCAAATAGTATTTTCACTGATCTTCCATCTCTCCCTATTTCGTGGTTCCTCCTCCATCCCCACCCACGCCCCCTCACTTCTTAACAACCTTATAAACCGCAACATCATGCGCCCCCAAACTCGCACTCACCGACTCTCCACTTCCCGTCTTCCCACTGAGCAGCTCTGTCCAAGCAAACGTTCCCGATCCGAGACCAGGTACGTCTGCGAACTTGACAGACAGGGTCTGCGCACCGCTGGGAGCGACGAGAGCGACGACCACGCCGTCGGAGAGGGGACCCGCCCAGTACGGGTAGAGTTGGCCGGAGACGGGTGCGGAGGCGCCGGAGGGGCGGAAGGTGGTTGCGGCTTTGCCGAGGGGGTCTTGGTTTATTGCTATGAGACCCTGGGGGTGTTAGTTGGGTTGGGTTGTGCATGTATGTGTGTTTGTTGGATGAGGGAAGGTGTGGGAGAGGAAGTTGAAAGGGTTTGTTTTCTTACTTTGTTCTTGATTAGGTTCAGACGTTCTGTTGATAATTTCGTCATGTCTGTACCCATGAGAATAGGTGATTTAGAAATTGCCCATATAGCGAAATGGGTTCGCTCTTCAGCAGCGGTGAGTTTTCCATTTCCAATGATCTATTGGGGATTTCATGTTAGCACAGGACCGCAAAGCAAAGGAAAAAGAGCAGATTGTCATACCATCATATCCAAGTCATTGAAACCATAAGGAGCAGAGTACGAAGCAATCGGCGCAGCTTGACTCGCAATCCTCACGACATCCGCCCATCCACCCCAATTATCAACGCTCATCCTCCAACTATTCCCCGTCGCCGCACCCCACGTCCAAACATTATCCCTTCCCCAATTGCACATTGAGAAAAAGATTGGTCGTCCAGAGCCTAACAATGCATCTCGCATCTTCGGATACCAAGTCTGCGTGCTCGCGGTAGGATTCCCACACGTCTGTACAGACCCATCCTTACACGGCGTATAACAATTATCATGTTTCCAGTAATCCACGCCCCAACTCGCCAGCAACTTCGCATCTTGCACCTCGTGGCCTTGACTCCCCGGATATCCACCACATGTCTGCGTCCCCGCATCTCCGTACAATCCGAGCTTCAGCCCGAGACCGTGGATCTGATCGGCCAGTGATTTCATGCCTTGAGGGAATTTACTTGGGTCTGGGACAAGATTCCCAGAGCTATCGCGCGATTTGGTGGTCCAGCAGTCGTCGATGTTGATGTAGGTGTAGCCTGCATCCTTGAGTCCGAGACTGATGAATGCGTTGGCGGTTTTGAGAGCTACGGATGCGCTGGCGGCACTGCAACCTCCTTGATTCTGGGGGGAGATTAGTATTTGATTCGGTTCAGTAGGAAGTATATTTGGGTTGTGAGCAGAATGAAATGTCTCTTACCCAGCTGTTCCAGCCTAGGACTGGTGTCTTGCCAAGACCGTTATTAAGTCGACGGTTGAGCTCTTCTGCTGCTGGAAGGCCGTGAACGACACCGACAGCCGCCAATATCAAGATTTCTGACCGCATGGTGAAGTATCGAGAAAAGAACAGGACTCGATAAACTTTCAGGTATCCAAATCAATTACTCAAGGTTCAAGTTGGATCCGATGTTTAAGTGCTTGACCGGTGCTTGACCATAAACGAGAATCCAAGCACAGATACTTATACGCGGACAGGTAGCTTAGTTCTTTGAAATTGGTGGGAAATCTATACTTGCACAAGTATGTTTGCAGAACTCCTTCCCGAAAGACTTTAATTCAATCCCTGTGAGCCATCAATAACCTCGTAGATCTTAGGAAATGGCATACTCCTACTGGCTCGCAAATCCCCTCAGGAACAGCCTTTACGCTATCCTTCACAAGTCCACAGTCTTTGTCAAGAACATGGTCGTCCGATTCTGGCTGATCTTAGGGGAAATAAATCCTCCGTTCTCTTTCCATGCTGTTGAATTAACCGTTTCCCTGCATCGAGGCGCGCCAGTCAAGATAATCGTCACTTAAGCGAGTCCATCCCCTTCTCGCTTGGTACTTTTACGATGTGGACTGCTTGTTACCCCAGGTTTCTCCGTATGCGCACCAGTAGTATATAGAGCGCATGTTGAGATCGTCGCGGGTAAATTGGTAGTGGATGGGGTAACTCGTATTCTAATGGAGTGGAATTAAAAAAGAAGCTCTAGGTACCGCGTACCATACCGAGTGCCGGTTCGCTTAATTTCAAATATATAGACCCCGCATTTGGTAATTGTGCTAGATTTGAGGTTGTATCTGGGTAACTTCTTAACGAGATTTCGTTTGTTGTACCTAGGTATTCTCGTACTGAAGCGTGTGAGATCAAGCCACATCTTCCTCTGGCTCCTCATCTCAGGTTCTGCAACCATCCTAAAGTTCGACATCACACCTTCAGTAAGTTTCGCTAATGGCCGTGATAAAGTTTTGTTCGATATCATTTAATCACGAGTTGAGGTCCGATGGCAGACAGAGCCAAAGGTGCGATGGTGATTCCAACCAGTAAAGGATTGGCTGCTGTAGAAAATTGCCGACGTTACGGACACCGAGACACGTCACTTGCGAACTTTATATAAAGTTCGACATGCAACAAAAGTCTCGCGATTTGCAACTTGCCCCACTTAACCCGGAGACCGTGTCACATGACTCTTTTCAATCCAAACCAAAAGCTCATTTCCCACCTTGTATCTTTTGATTCAGAATACTTTTCTTAAATATCCAAATATCAATTACCTTTAGCCTTTCTGACTCTTTGTACCTAAATTTAATGACAGCCTCCCCGCGATGGGTCTAACCCGATAGCCCCATATTTTTCAGCTACAGAGAGGGGCGTGCACCCAACATCCAACAGCCAATCCAATATCGTGCAGCACGAGCTCGACCCACGTCCAACGTTGGTTTACTACTTCCAGGTAAAGAGCATCGCGATCTGAACAACTTATGCTGTTACTCTATATTTTCGGTATTCACATGAAGATGATGCGATCTGAGCGCACTTATCATCACGATCCAGCCCACTTAGAACGCTGCATAATCGCCTTTCAAGTTTCAACTTTCAACAGGGGATCTGGAAGTGTCGTAAACGAATCGTATGCTTCTTCAATACGTTAAAATAATTCTCTAGGATTTTAGACTAACCGTAATCTGCAGAACGGTGACTTCTCCCCTGCGTTGAGGAAGATTTCTCATCCAATATAATGGATGACCCAGATGTAGCGCAATTTCCACAGCGCACTCTCAATGAAGGCTGTGGACTCTGCGGCAAGGAGACAGCACCGCTCTCTCGATGCTCAAGTTGTAAAGTGATATACTACTGCTGTCATGATCATCAAGATGCCCACAGCGAAAGCCACGAGGGGACTTGCAATAAAATCAAGAATGCCTACAACACAATCCAAGAAGAAGAGCTCAAGCTTCGAGCCATCATGCAAGCGGCAGTGTTTGCAAATGTAGTGGGCTCATCTTATCCAAGAGATTTAAATCGGCTGTACGTCATTACTCAGCGCAATCTGTTTCACGCTCTCGACGATATACAAACAAGAAGTGCAGTTCAAGCGAAAATAAACAGCATGAGAGAGGTCTTACGCTTAGATCCCGGCGACAATTTCCGAGTACGATATGTAGGATCATTCCTTATGTTACGAATAGGGCAACTTCAAGAAGCATATGATTTTATAAAGTATTATGCCATTGCTGAAAGCAAACCTAACTACGACCTGAAAGAAGTAAGAGAGGGTTTTAGGAAGGATCAAGATGTATTCGAGGACGTTCGACATTTTTGTGTACCATCAACGGAACTGTATAACCTAGTTGCTCTTGCGATACTCAAGTTCAAACTGTTACAGGATCTCAGAGCCATTGCCTTCGCCTCCGAAGTCACTTGTCAGGCTCTGCCAATCGAACTTCGTCTTCAGATCCAAGAAATGGTTCCATTTTCTCCTTTTATCGCCAACAATTCCAAGTTCACAGCGAATCCGCGGTATGCACTTGAACTCTCAAATCGCATGGCCGAGCAACTGTTGAAACTAGTCCGCGCAATTCATTATCACAACGCATATTTTTTCAGCGCACTTCAAACACCCTATCACGATTTACTATATTACTCGGAGAATGATTGCGAGGGCTCAAGCGAGGTATGGTACGCTCTTCAAGTATTCTATAATACGTGGTGTGAGACCCCTGGGGCAGTTTCTTACATTCTCAAAATGTGGATGACGTTTGGACCTGCTGAAACGGAGCTATTGGCGCCAGTAATACCGTATGTACCAGTAGAGAAGATGTCCTGGATAAGGTCCCTTTTCCGCAAATTAGACTCGAAACGCAAATCTCGCCGTGCTAAAACTTATCTCAAAGGACCTACTGGTGGTCCATGTTACCGTTAACTGGACTTTCTATGAATCTGATCTGCTATATCCATATATCTATTCCTACGACTGCGAATGAGTCATTTTCAAATAAGCCAACCTTCATAGCCGTCACAATATTCAACTTCGGAATCTGTGAAGCGTTCATATCCATCAGCCACCACAGAATACAGCTTCGGCTTTCAAAACCGGAAGAACGACGACGAATATCTCGCATGCAACTTGTTCAGACAAAGAAGCTAGTGGCTTCGTGGACTGAAGGGCTCCCGTTCGAAAACCCCCTCACGGTTGCAAGACAACTCGTATGAGAGTCTGCGCTCATCACTGCTGATAGCGACTGCGGACAACACAAGTGGTTTTGTTGTTGATCTTTCCCACGAGATATACGTTCGCTATGTTGTCATGGAAGGTACTCGTCACATCCGCAATGTATGAAGCTCTGATAATCCCTCGTTCTGAAGACAGTTCCGCTTGAAAGTCAAAACCCAAATGACCACCGGCAAGTTTGGATCGTGGAAGATCATCTTGGAATCAGAGAGATACAGACCTCGTCTTCATCTAGCTCCATGCTCACAAAACCCGGTTTATAATGGAGACAGCTTCCCGGACATTGTTGTATCTCTGAAATGAAGACAAAGACTGGGCCTGTTGACTCTGCTATTTCATCATAGCTTGAGGTATCAAGAAAACGAATTTTGGAGTGGTCCTTTTCAGGTCATCAGGCGTCCTCTCAACAGAGCCGTTATATGACAATAATCTAAATTACCCATAACATCAACTAATCTGCGACTGACTAGATTTGATCCCAAAGGCCTGCTCAAAAATGCTGTTTCGTTTCCCATACATCACCTCCGGCTTACACTTTATCTTCTCCCAGTTCTCATTTTCCGTCAACTTTCAGTTCGGCTAACTTTCCTTGAACGCCGCAACGCGTGTACGTCGGATGACGGTATGAATTATTCCCGTTCCCTATCCCGATTCCCAGACACTTCCAGATCTTCCGCCGGCGGGATGAGTCCAGGTACGTGAAAAATTTGACAAGCATTTCAGCTTGAGGCCACGTAAGTAAGGAACGAGAAATGACCCGTCTATTGGTAGCCTGCTATTGCTACGAAATGAGCCATTCATTTGCGCCTCGTCGAGTTCAACAGGTGAAGAGTCGATGAGCGGGACTTATGTACGTTATGAGATTTTGTTGGCCGTTTAACCTTCAGTATTTTGACATGATGTGAACGAATTCCAATTAGTTTAAGTATTTCTTAAGCGCTACCTTACGTATATACCCCTAATTCTTTTCAGTTAGAATGGGACTATCCTTTCGTCTTGGCAATGACCAGAGTTACGAACCACCCTAGGACCTACAAGTCTGGGCGGACATCTACCAATCAAGTATTAGAAAAACTACCCCGCTCATGGAAGGCTAACTGAATGTCTCTGGACTCGCTGCTGCGGCAGGCTGTCAAAAAACTAGGTTATGAAAGGTCATTATCGATATGTATTGAGAAGGAGGGCTTACTGTCTGGTTGAGCCTGTAGAATTCTTCGCTTCACCGTCTGACAAGAATCTACAAGGTTATCACATTACCTCAGCTTGTCTTATCAAGTCCCTCTCTTCCACACAATTTTCAAACCCTATTTCTACTCGCATTCGTCACCTGGGAAATTCCATTCTCACGTGAGTAACTGCTTTTTATACACGTTTTTTATAATGCTGATCTTGGCGAAACAGCACTATAAATCACACTCAGCCGCTATCCACCAATTTTGAAACCAAACTCAATAGATCCCTCATGAGCCAGCGATCATGAGCATCGTTCCCCAAACCGGTCTTCTGCGAAAACTCTATCAAGTAGCAGTCGAGGACATTGAGCACAACTCCTCTGCATTCTGGCAGGCATACCTCCAGCGAGCTTTCAATGAAACCGACACCTACTCAGTCACTACGGATCCTTTCCCCTGGAGTCCGAAAGCTGATATACTGGTCACAAGGTACGATGACAGGGACGATAGTACTTTAACAAACGTAATTCTGGCCGAATGCCATCGTCCGGCAGAGAGCTTGCATGACGTAGAAAAGCGAGCTTTAGATGTAGCGTTAGGATTTATAGAAGCTGAGGATTTGGCTTGGATATATGTCGTGACTACAATCAGAGTCTCGTTTCGTGTCTGGGTTCTGTATGCTTGTAGTGATGTTCTGGACCCAATGGATAGGCTTGAGGGTCGGGGGGATAGGGAATTGTATGAAGATGCTGATTCAAAGGATGCTTCTGTTCTCACAAAGGCTGTTGGTATGATTAAGATTGGCCAGGCTCGACCTTGTGAAGAGGGGAAGAAGAGCTTGTTGGCTGCTGGAGGTGGGAAAGGTTATGGGAGTAGCTCAGAACAACAGGAGCATGATAATACGGGGAAGCCAGTGTCTGAACATATAAAGGGTGGATGATTTGACGTCTAGTATCGAGACTCGGCTTTGATTGCGTCCGAAATCTAGAGCAGATTCGAGTATTGTCAGACTACTTCGAACGATTGACGGCCCTTTCACGAGAGAAGCTTATGGTGGACGATATGGGAGGCGGTCCAAACAGGATATTTGTTCGATGAAGTTGATAAATATCGTGTATTTTGTCTCATATCTTGGGCAAACAAGACCTTCTAAGGCTATGTTAAGAATAGATCACCACTAATGAAAATACTTACCGACTCTACATTACAACTCAAGTCGTCAATAATAGCAAGGTCCCGCCACTCATTTGGACTGTTGCGAGGGTAACACATACTCGAGAAACTGAATCTCTATAATAATTCTTATTTTATTGCTCTGTGCAGTATACTAGGCCCTCCAGAGAGAACCAGATGAAAGAATAACAATATAACGAAGCAAAATAGAGGAGGTAGCATGTCGTACCTAAGCTCGGGCCGGCCTGACACCGGGCCAACCCAGCTCGCAGCTGCAGCTCTATTTACAATCAGCCACCCAAGCTGTCGTAATCCAGCTTCATACATCCAGCTCCCCCCCCATTGAACATACAAATAACACATATCATTCTTCCCTGAACACAGTTAAAATGAAGATTTCAGCATTATCAGCGCTGGCGCTCTCTGCCACTCTCGTCTCCGCCCGATTCGTCGAAAAACACGAGACGGATCAAGTCGTCATTAACGCTGCCAACGTCCCAGACGAGCTATATCTGATCGAACTCACGCCTGGAGAAACGAGATGGGTTACTGAGGAGGAGAAGTGGGAGTTGAGAAGAGTAAGTCCGGTTGCTAAGGGTTTAAAATATCGGGCTAACCAGGCAATAGAATGGCCAACAGTTCATGGACATCACCGAGACAGAAGGCCTAGGTCAATTCCACGCCGACGTCAAGAAAGATGTCAAGTTTCCCAAAAAGCCAACCTTACAAAAGGAGCTCGTGCCGTTGATGAAGAATCTCACCAAGTCGAACATGAAGGCAAACCTCGAGCAATTCACATCTTTCCATACGAGGTACTACAAGTCGGATTACGGGCGGCAGAGCTCGGAGTGGTTACTCAAGCAGGTCGATACCTTGATCAAAGATGCAGGTGCCGATAAATACGGGGCATTTGTGAAGCCGTTCGAACATCCTTGGGGCCAGAATAGTATCATCGCTACGATACCAGGCAAGGCGAATTCTACTGTCGTCGTAGGCGCGCACCAGGATAGCATCAACCTATTCTTGCCATCTATTTTCTCTGCGCCGGGCGCAGATGATGATGGAAGCGGGACTGTGACTATTCTTGAGGCGCTGAGGGTTCTACTTACATCTGAGGATATTATTAAGGGGAAGGGCGAGAATACCGTGGAGTTCCATTGGTATTCAGCCGAGGAGGGTGGACTGCTTGGGAGTCAGGCTATCTTTTCGTCGTATGAGAAGTCCGGGAGAGATGTTAAGGCTATGTTGCAGCAGGATATGACTGGTTTTGTGCAAGGGACTCTTGATGCTGGGTTGAAGGAGAGCGTGGGAGTCATCACCGATTTCGTGGACCCTGCGCTTACGACTTTCATCAAGACTGTTGTTACAGAGGTAAGCTGAGATCCAAATCAATATCCAGGTGCATAGCTAACATATTGCAGTACTGCGATATCCCATACGTCGAGACAAAGTGCGGATATGCATGCTCAGATCACGCCTCTGCTTCTAAAGCTGGTTATCCTTCTGCGTTTGTGATTGAATCTGCCTTTGCAAATTCCGACAAGAAGATCCATACTTCAGACGATTTGATTAAGTACTTGAGTTTTGATCATATGCTGCAGCATGCCAAGTTGACTTTGGGTTTGGTTTATGAGTTGGCTTTTGCAAGCCTGTGAACAATTATGGTTGGTTAGGATTGGTTATATTTATAGAAGGGAGAAGACTTGAATACAGATTAATTGATGGAATGATTCAGGACTGCTTTCCTGTGTTTTAAAACATTCTTTCCCATTTTTTTTATCATAACTATTAGCCCACCAGAACCTCATCCGGGTATATGATGCAAGAAGTCCTTAACTTCGTACCAGTGATATCTGCACGCTCTCCAGCACTAGGCGGTGTTGGCCGAGGCTTTCTGAGACAGTGCGACTCATCTGGATGGAGTCACACACGGACCGAACTTTTGGGTTGTGATTGGCCAATTATGGCTCAAACGATTACGCATCGACTTGGGACCGGACTTGGAGCTTATCGCTACGCGACTCCCCGGACTCTCCCCTGATGGCTCATCTGCTTCCAACATTCGTCCCCAAGTACCTCTCCGGGCCAGCTTCAATTCCATCTGACGCGACTGTACACTCACTCCCAACATCCTCATCTCCATCCAAAACTCACTGCAGATTCTTCAGCGCATCAAAATGGCCATCTATTCAGCAGTACCGCCACCTGAGCAACAAGCTCCATCCACGACACCTGTCCAGCAGGTCCTCGAATCTGCGAACTTGACTGTAGGTCTTGCCGACTTGTCGATTTCTCCATCTGCTGGCAGAAATGGTATGACCTTGAGCATTCCGCCTGATAGCGAAGCCGAGGCTCTCAAGTCTGTGAGGGCCAGAAAAGAACCGTTGAAGAGGGATAGTATGAAGCGTCGGGAGGCTTTGTTGAAAGGCAAGGAGGGCAGCAGACGTAGACAACGATGGGAGAATGGTATGTCTTCGCGTGTGATGTGGTGAACTGCTGGCTCTGGTGGATGGCGATGTTACTCGTCCTTGCCTGTCGCATACTGTCACGCAGAATATCCTCAACTAATCTGCGCTTCTTCTTCAGATGCATTCATGCACGTTCCTAACGCGCAGCCTCCTCTTCCTTCCGATTGGGAAGTTCATCCAACACACCCCGTCCACAGTGTCCCATACTATCTCGCTCCGCTCTGGGATCTCCGCATCGAAGCCCAAGCCCAAGCGTCTCACTCGCGCAAATCCTCCTCTGCTACCAAGGCAGCTGCTCGCGATGGTCAAAAAGGTCGTGTTCCGCAAGAACTTAAGGCGAAGCTCAAGCGTAGCAAAGGCGCAAAGACTCTACTTCAGGAGCTCGAAGAGGAGGTTCGCAAGTTCGTGAGGGACCAGGAGCGTAAGGAGCGTATGCGAATGAAGGGTACCGATTCCGAGGAAGAACCTGAGCTGGACTCTGAGGACGAGGAGATCGTGTTCATTGGAAAGAATGGTCGAATGAGTGACGAGGTTAGGAAAGAGCGGGAACTGGCCGAGAAGTTCCTCGAACGGGAGAAGAAGATCTGGGAAGGGGCGGCGGACGATAAAGGATCGAGTTTTGGGTATGTTCTCCGCGAGTCGAATCGCATATACGATGTGGAATTCGATGTGAATGTTGAATATGTATACTAACTCGGAGTAGACGCTGGCTTGTTCACTCCATTGCCGCCTACTATGGGCTTTCCTCGCGCTCCGTCACTGTCGGCAATCCCGCTCGTAGAGAAGCTTACGTCGGTATTAAAACCAAGGAGGTTGTGATGACGACCGGTCGCCGTGTTTCCTCTCCAGAGTTCGACATTGAGCTTCCCAGACCGCTTTATGGGCTTGTCTAAATGCCTCGCACCACAATTGTTTTCATACGACCTATGCAAGCGCAAGTTTCGCATAGTCGATGGCCTGGAGGTGGGCGTGTCTGGATGGCATCCTGCTCGTCCTATATTTTCGTCCCGAGTGTTTGATTGTATGATGTTTGACTTTACCTAAACTGTTTTGCATAGAATTAATATATACACTCTCTGGCAAATGTTCTACTCTTGAAACCTACGTCGAATGTTAACCGATTGAAAGACTTCTTGCTGATGGGGTCCCAAAGCCACTATAGCTACAAATCAAACATTTTTTTTTTTTGGTGTTGTTGTGTTTGAGTTCTGTATTCTGAAAGTGATAAATAAAATTCCTAACGCCATGCTGGGCTTCTTACCGCCAACGGTGCACGTCCAGTCTTAGATGTTATCTGGCAGCGGGCCGAAGGGTGCCGATCATTCTCCTTATGAGCCGATACTGCTTCCGACCATACCGAGGCTCAGGTACTTGCATCTTAATGGTCCAAGCTCCTGGGTTTTTGTTCGGCCCAAGTCAATCTGCCCAACCATTACCATCATATCGACCGCCGACAGTGTATAGACGAGTTTGGGCACTCCTCCTCCGACTCTGAATCAATTACACGATGCCGCGACCATTCCCTCTTCCATTACGCATAGGAAGTGACCTCGCCAGCATCCATCGATTTTATAATAAACTTATTCGTTCCGACCACAAGATTCGTCTTGCTTTTATAAAAAAGATCCTCACCCCCGAGGAATGGTTGGCGCACGAGCAGAAATACATTATACCATTGGACCGATGGAAAGACAATGTGTTTGGTACCGACGGCTGGAGGCCCCTACGGAAGTATGGCATCGCGCTGGATATCATGCAAAGTGAACGAAAAAAAGCTAGAGGGCAAAAAGACAACATCAGTGCTACAATCGACTTTGCAAAAACTGCAAGATTGCTTGCTAGCAGGTATGCAGTACCAAGACT